CACTGTAAATACCTTACTTATAACGCCAATTGCTAAGTCCCATGATCCTTTAAGTTGACCCTAAACCCTAAACCCTTATAGTACCCCTATAGATCCTTTAAAGGTACCCCTTAAAGGATCCCCAATTACTAAGTCCCATGATCCTTTAAGTACCCGATTCGTGTCCCGCATCTTTGGAGGCTTTGCCCTCCGGCCTCAGACCCCGACAGGTGCCCAGAGACTCCAGTATCCTTTAATTAAGGAATATTCCTTAAATCATATTAGGGATCCTAATATAGTTTAAGGTTTATATTCCTTAATTAAGGGGTTTTGGAGTCTCTGGGTGGTTCTCTACAGCCGGCACACGCCAGCCTTTCCTTCACTGGAGCCTACCCTAAGGCCCCAATGTAGTTCCTTTTGGGGGTTCGTATATAGAATCATATACGGCAATCCCAAAAAGGAACTGCCTTGGGGCCTATGATTAGAGGAAATTCTATTCGCTTCAAAACCCAGCTTTAGCGCGACATAACAGCTCGTGCGCTGGATCGAAAACTGTCAACTCTAGAACCCTAGAGTCCGACCCAAAAGATGTTTGCTCTGGGGATCCAGGGTTTATTCCACGCTTGGTAGCTGCAGCTTGTGCTGCAAGTGTGATTTAATATTATAGCCCGAGTATTTTGAGCCGGCCTCAATACCCCATTTCAATCACAGGAAACCATGCAAGACCGAGGCCCTAAAGCCAGCAGTGTGCTTAAGCTCCACACCTCCCAACCACCCAACCGCAAAACCCATAACCCCGCGAACACCCCAAACCCTGAGCAAAATCTTTCATCATCACCTCGCATAAGCCCTGCACTCCCAGCACCAACACATATGGCACCTAAACCCTAAACCCTAAACGTTCATACCTGGTCCAGATCATTGTCATTGGCCATCCTGGTTCCGATCCCAAGAAAGCTTGCCTCAAGGCGCCAAGAGTTGATGGTCTGTTTAGGGTCTACTCAGTTTCATTGCTTTTTAGGCATTACAGGGTCCGGTGTTTTTCGGGTTGAGGTTTCATTCCTTTAGGGTTAAAGTTGGGTTCAGGATGTGTACTACGCATGACGGCTAGGACTTGACCTCTGGGGGGGTTTAAGGCTTTAGAACATCAGGAACCAGAGTTTAGAGATTAATTACCAGAGAGCCCAATACCTCATAAACGCGAATATGGCACGAAGCCGAGAAAAACCTGAACAACGTATTAGGCCTCACACTGCGGAATTACAGGTTTTTATTAGTAAGTTATTAAGCTCTCTGGGTTTGGCGAGTAGGAAGGTGTGGCTAAGGAAGTCTACTTGGAGGTTCATGGGTAGTTATAAGTGGTCTTATAGGCAGCATAAGTATAGTTTTAAACCCACAATAAGGGATTTATAACTCCACTTTTAACTTCCCATGAACCTCCAAGCATGGTGCTACACTGGGTTGTGCTTTGGAATAACTTTTAATTTCCCTTATTTCCTTATAAAGGGAGCCTATTCATAAATAATTTTCAAAGGGTTTTAAAGCACAACCTTTAACTAGAAAATTCTACATTACCTAAACCCTAAACCCTAAACCCCCCTTTAAGGAACCCTATAGTCCCTATAGATCCCTTTAAGGAACTTTTGGGAGGCTGAGGTTTCGATCTTCGAGTTTGCGCTCCAGGCTAGAGGTTTTGCACACACTTATATAGCTGAGTGGGTTTAGGGTTTTAGGGTTTAGGGTTTAGGGTTTAGGGTTTTAGGGTTTAGGGTTTTAGGGTTTAGGGTTTAGGGTTTAGGGTTTTAGGGTGTAGGGTTTAGGGTTGGGGATAATAATATGAACCACTAAGAAGCTGAGAGGACACACTTCCCAGAGGGTCCAAGTACCCCAAAAAGTAGGGTTCTAGGTGCCAAAATCCATACTCCGAATGGTTATTGGACCCAGAGACCCTACTATTTGGGCACTTGGACCCTCCGGGCTTTTTTTGGGGATAGGGTTTAGGGTTTAGGGTTTAGGGGATAATATTAAACACTATAAAACTAGAAGTGTACACGTTTTGGGGCTTATGAACTCAGCAACTAAGCACAGGGCCGAATACTTAGTCTAGAACCCAGAGTAGGCCCTTATTCCCTTCTTTATGCTTAGGGGTACTTAGAAATAGTTTTAATTTTTGGTTATTATAATCCCTAAGAAACAGCTAAAATTCTAATTTTGACTAGGGTTCAAAGTTCAGTATAGTGGTTTAGGTTCTCTTATAACACCCTTTAACCCAACAAGGGCACCCTTTTTAGTCCTAGACGACTCTTGTGTCCAGTAATCGAATCCCGGTACAGTGCGTGTCTGTCGCCGGTGCTGTGGCAGGGTTTAGGGTTTAGGGCAGTGCTGTGGCACGTATACTGTCTCTTTCCTCAGCACAATAAATTTGGTATTTGTCAAAATTGAAGTCCCTTTTTGGGTAATCTAGGTGCCGTATTTTAATAGGGACCCCAAAAGGGAACGTAGTTTTGACAACCTGAAGTGGATGGTCAGCCTAAACCCTGTGAGCCCTAAGTCCTAAACCTTAAGCCCGAGGCCATACACACTAAGCCCAAAACCGAATACGCGACCCTCGTTGTTGCATCGTGGCGCGAATCCGTAGATTCTCTGCCCTTGAACATGCGTCTCCATGTGCTTATACTCATTAGCTGAGTGGGTAACCTTCACCTAACTTTTTGGGTTGTATAGAATCATACGAAAAGGTTAACCTTTCTGGAGCTAGCGTATGCAGCCATAAAGTGTATAGTATATACTTCGGCCCTAGAGGGGTTCCTGTGTTGGAACCCCTTGAAGGCGTAAGTACTATATGGGAAGTTATCTTAAAGAGAGTCCCTTTTAGGGTCCTTTATATACGAGTGCCGTACTATTTCGGGAACCCAAAGAGGGACTGTACTGCAACTATCCATAAAGTACTTAGACCTTGAAGGCATCCCTTTGTAGGACATTCTTTGGGGCCTAGGTATGTACTTTATAGGTGCATGGGGCCATATACCCCACAATAAACCCTAAGCCCTAAGCCCTGAAAGAGACCGTTTCGGTTGCTACATCTCCGTTGAGAATAGCAGAGTGGCCTCCCGAAAAAATCTCACCTTATAAACCCCAAAACCCCTGAACCCTGGCCCTCGTAAACCCCGAAAGCTCGCATAAGATCTCTTGCGCATCCCGTACAGAACCTCTTAGGGAGCCCATATAGTCGAACCTTCGTAACGGCCGTAGTATAGAAGCCTAAATAAGTACCAATGTTACTCTTGGGGCTCCTTATTATACATATAGTACAATATACCCAAAACCCTATTCTATTCATTAAGCTCCCTACAGTAGAAAGCTTGGAAATTCAGTTCTTGAGCAATAACTGTTTGGTTCTTAGTAGGGAATGGGGGAATGGATCCGTAAAGTAGTCGGTTCTACTCCGCAATAGTTGTCCCCAGAACCCATTCCCCCATTCCTCACTAAGAACCAGACAGACAGTTGCTCTAAGGGTCCAAGTAGTCCGTATCTATGGTTTTTGGTACCCAAAAAGGCCCTAAAGTCCTACAATACGGAGTACTTGGACCCTCTGGGTTGTTGAACAAGAACCCTATCCTTCCAAAGACCTCATAGTTCGGGCCCCAGACCCCTTTGAGGATCCAATAATAAGGTTTCTGGAGGCATAGGGTAACCCTAAACCCTGGACCCTAGACCCTAAAACCCTAAACCCTAAACCCTAAAACCCTAAAACCCTAAACCCTAAACCCTAAACCCTAAAACCCTAAACCCTAAACCCTAAACCCTAAAACCCTAAACCCTAAACCCTAAAACCCTAAACCCTAAACCCTAAACCGTAACCCCTACTGATTGTGTCAGTCTCCCCTTAGCCCCAGAGGCGCTCGGGATCCGCTGCCTGTCTGAAGATCATGCTTTCCATGATGCTGTTCCGTAGGAGGGATCTAAGGGCTCATATATTACCCTAAGGCTCCATGTGCCCATATAGTATATACTTAGGCCTTGAAGTACCTAATTATATAGGGACTACTTTGGGGCTTAAGTATCTAGTATAATGGTACATGGAGCCTTTGGGTTAAGGCTTTTGGGCCAAAGATCTTACTATGTAAGGCTGTTGGGCTATTTTGATCCCTAGGGGTTAATTTTCAAGGTTCTTGCAGGGTTTCTAAACCCTAAAACCCTAAGCCCTAAACCTCATGAGGGCTCTGAAAAGTGGGTATGATACAAGGCCCCCTTCCAGTAGTAACCTGATGTTTTTGCTTGCTTGCTAAGGCTCGGTACTGGGAACAAGGGTCCTCTTCAAGAGAATACTGGAAGACCTACGACCTATGATGGGTGCTATCCCGACGGCCATGCAAGTGCAAGCAAGTATGTCGAAGTTATGAACGGACGTAGGCAGGTGGGCTTCAAACCCTAGATCCTAAAGCCTAAACCGGAAACCTTAAATCCCTTAAACCTCTACACCCTAAAACCGATAAACCCTGAACCCTAAACCGTCCCATATGTTCAGGACCGGCAAGGTTGGTAGCCAGACGCCGCAGTTAATGCCGAAGCCTAAACCCCAAGACCCGAAGCCTTGTAATGAACCCTGACGCCCAAAAACCACTAGTCTTCCGGGTTGGGATTGTGGTCTAGGATTTATGCTACAAACTTATGTCGGCGAGAGTGCAATGACCGTGGACCGGATGTACGAACTTCTGAGTCGCGAATGGCTATCAATTGGTGCCGACAATCCCTGAGGGTCCAAGTACCCACATAGCATATACTTTGGGCCCAATGTATCTATATAGGGAGTACTTTAAGGCCAATGTATATGCTATATGAGTACATGGACCCTCAGGGAATGTGTCCCGCGCGACAACAGCTCGCTCAGTAACATTTGACAATGCTCGTGTCAGCGAGAACTTTTTTTCGTGGTCCTGCATCTGACCGCAACGTACGCTTCAGCACGGACAACAAAGACAGCGTTCGGGGATCAGGGGGCCGTGGCAGTGCGCGAGTGCATGGCCAAAGCTGAGGCCGCTGCAAATCAAGATCTCGACGAGCTATCACTGCTGCCGTCGTGTCCATGGTCACGAAATCTCACGAATGGTGCCGTGCGCTGCCATGCCGATTCAATTCGCTGCTGGGGTATGCTACGGTTTATTGGAAACGCTAAACCCTAAACGACCCTGAAGAATACTATGGACGTTGTTTTCTCGGGGGTGGAGGCCGTGCAAATGACTTTGTGGAGCCGGGAAGCCGCTTAAAACACCTTTGAGAATCCTGAACTAAACCCGGAAAAGGATCTAGCCAGAGACTCCAAAAACCCTTAACTGAGGAATATACCTTAAACCATAGCAGGGATCCTACTGTAGTTTTAGGAATATTCCTAGGATGAATTGTTTGATTGTGGAGCAATATTTCGGAAATGACTACCTAAACCCTTCAACCCTTTTGTTGAAACTCCTTCGTCGCCCCCAGCCTCAATGCTGAATGCGCTGAGGCAAGATATGCGATGACGACAGCATCGGTGAGAATGCTGATGATGCTGACCCGGTCCCATAGATGCAGACGTCTTAAAGCATGTGTGCCAGACGTGCCACTGTATCACGATCAAGCTTCCAGCATTTTTGAACGGTTCTACAAGCTTAGCATCAAGGTCTCCCCAGAGTCACCGGTTCACTGTAAATAAGGAAAAGCTCCCTAAACTTAAGTTTTTGCGTGGTTGAAGTTGCGGTATGTTTCATTGTTCTTCAGAATCGTCAATGACATACCCATAGGCTCCATAGAAATTGCTATTTGGGGATTACCTGATAGGCTTCTACATATGGTAGTTTCCGAAAATAGGGGACCCTAGTATAGTACCCCAAATAGTAGGATCCTTATTAGAATGACCCCAAAATCAGGTATCCCTAGTTGCCCTAGTTTTCGGAAACTCCCATATGAATCACAAAAAGCAATTGCTATGGAGCCTCTATGAGCCCTGACCCGACCTCTGTGAAGGATTCCCTGGTCTGACGCTCTCACTCCGAAAAAGGGGGTCTACTTAGTAGCTGAGTGGAGTCCCTTTAAGGGATCTTTAGGGGCACTACTTAAAGGATCATGGGACTGAGTAATTGGGGTTATAAGTAAGGTATCTACAGTTATAGTTACTTACAACCCCAATTCAAGTATTTATGGCCCTACTTAGTATATAAGTCCCATGATCCTCCAAGTACAAGGGTTAAGGGTTTAGGGTCTACTTAATACCTAGCTTCGGGGCTGAGTGTGTAACCTTCAACCGTTTGAGGTTTATGTAATCCTACCGTATCTGACAAGGTTAACCTTTCTTGGGCTAGGGTACTCAGCCACTAAAGTTTAGGATTTAGATTTTAGGGCTTTCAGGTTTTATCAACTTTGGTTTGACTGGTGTCTAGAGGATTTCGGTGCACTGCTAGAGGGTTTAGGGTCTCAGTTTTGTTGTTGCATTTTCGGGTTTCAAAGCATGGAGGCTTGCTTAGAGCGTTTAGGATCGTGTAGGTGGTGTTAGGGTTTCGGGGTTTAGGGGTTTTAGTGTGTTCAGGGGATTGTAGGGTTTAGGGTCTATATGGGGTTTAGGGTGTGTTTTAGTGTGTTCAGGGCCTTTAGCGGTTTACGTAGGTGTTCTCTTGGTGTTAGCTTTTTCGGTTTAGGTTTCGGGCTAAGGATTTACTGTAGAGTTCAGGATTGTGGAGGTTTTCTGTTGGGTTTAGGGCTTTGGCGATTGGGAGTTGGGGTTTGGCCTTTTTGGGACTGTAGGGTTTAGAGTTCAGGATTTACGACTTTGGGGTTTTAGGATTTTAGGGTGCTGGCGCTTAAGATTCAGCGCGAGGGCTTCGGGATTTTAGGATGTTGGCATGTGGGGTCTAGGGCTTCTAACGACTAGGGTTTAGGGTTTAGAGTTTAGGGCTTAGGGCTAAGGGTTTAGGATTTAGGGTGCTGGTGTTTAGGCCCTAAACACACTTATTATGACTTCTGATGACCGAGGAGCTGACCGGCGTATGGACAACAGCAACGCTCGAGTCCATAGACATGAAGGCACCCAGAGAGTGCCCTAGTAGTAGAGTAGGTAACCTTAAGCCCTAAACCCTAAACAGATACCCCTAAACCCTATACTAATTAACAAGGCCCTAATAGTACCTAGTAGTAGAGTAGGTAACCTTTAACCTTTTGTGGGTAGTATATTCCCTATATAATCCCTATATAACCGAAAAGGTTAACCTTTAGTTCCCCATGATACCCGACAAGTAGGAGTAACTGAGGTTTTGGTGTTTTTGGTGTGGATTCTTCCCTGTTGGTACATTCCCCTTCGTATCGTGAGAAGGGTTTTATATACTATGGTCCTTGGGCCCAAAAGCCTTAATATATGAGTCCCTAGATCCCTAGGGTTAGAGTAGGGTTTCAGGTTGAGGGCTTACTGAGGCTTACTGTACATTACGTTTTGCGCCGAGACCCTCAGTTTCAGCACCTTGCGCCAGGGCAAACTGACAAAGGGATTCAACAAAGGCGACGAGGAGTGGCCCGGGTTTAGGGTTTAGAGGTTTTGGGTTTAGGGTTTAGAGTTTAGGATGGGAACAGACGACGAGGAGTGGACCGGGTCCATGGTTTAGGGGTTTAGAGCTTAGGATTCAACGAAGACGACGAGGAGTGGCATGCTCTTCGGTAAGGACTTTTAAACTTATTGGCTACTTTACCCATAGGCTCCATAGTAGTTCTTTTTTGGGATTACCTTATAGGCTTATAGGGTTCTATATATGAACCCCCAAAAGGAACTACTTTGGAGCCTCTAGGTAGTTTTAAGATCCAATTGAAGGATGTTCACAATAAGTAGACTGTGCCACAAGACAATGTGCAGTATAGCTTTTAGGCGTCAGGCTTTTTGGATCCCCAAACCGCAGCCCCTCAAATCCAATCACTCTCTAGTTGAACTACATAGCGGCTAGAACAGGGTTTGGGGGGTCTATTATACAGCAAAATTTCGACGGTATTAGAGTTGAGTTATAAATAAGGAACCGTAGGGAGAGTATCGGCAACTATTGAGGCTTCTTCATGCATCCTAAGCCCTTAGAAATAGTTGTATCATGTTCGCGCCCTTCGCGCTTCCAGTCCCGGGCGTCCCATAGCAGGGTTTATAGGGTTTAGTGTTTTGGAGTTTCGGATTTTAGGGCGAAGCCTCTGTCTGCGACTTCCAGCATCGGCTTCATGCTAATTACCAAGTATAGGAGTTAGGTAGCTTGGGCTTGTAAGGGTGTTGTTTACATGGTTTGAGGCTGTACGGTTTAGCGTGGCGGAGTTCTATACCATGACATCCGTGCGTTTACGTAGCGGTATAATCCTGGATGAAGGTACCCGAGACAATCCCATCAACAGAGTCTTCATATTCTATAGAAGTTGAAAAATGCCAATATGATTCCACAAGGCCCGACACCCTATTCTAATCGTTAGGTCCACGTTAAAACAAACAGCAACTCAACACGTAAATGGATACACAGATTCAAACTAGCATATTTGCCAATCGTTACATCGATGAAGCAACAAACTGGTAGGTAAATGCATAAACAAATCCATGTATGTATGTATGTATATATATATATATGAGCCGTATATACATATATATATATATATATATATATATATATATGTGTACTTTCATAGAGAGAGAGCTGGAGAGAGAGAGAGAGAGAGAGAGAGAGAGAGAGAGAGAGAGACAGAGAGAGAGACAGAGAGAGAGACAGAGAGAGAGTCGGAGCGCAGGCCCGTGGTTTTGCATTTTCACAATTGACTTGCAGGGGGTTTAGGGCTCCCAGTGTGCCCTTTTTCCCTTTTTTGTTATTCCTGAGTTACTGGGCATCCTAGTAGGGCTCTAGGTAAACCCCCCAGTCCTCGTCAGCCCGAGACTCCAACACTCCTTTACAGTAGAAGCCCAACAGTTGGAAACCCTGTAGCCACAATCCCCAAGAGTCATGTATAGGGAATCCGAGCACTATTTGGCCTTAATCCGGTTTCCAACTTATGGGTTTACTATAAACAACAAAGAAGAATACATTACCTCAAGTTGTAAGGGAATCTTTAGTATGACTCAGAGCACCTTTCTAGATGGGAGTTTCCGAAAAGTGGGGACCCCAATATAGTACCCTACATAGTAGGATCCTTATTGGAAGGACACCAGAGTAAGGTGCCCTCAATTTTCGGCAACTCCCTGACCAAGCGGTACCCTAAACCCTAAACCCCAAGTGGTTTTCAGTCTTCCGGGAGGACGAGGAGGACGAGGAGGAGGATGACGAGGAGGAGGGCGGCAACAAGAAGCAGATTCTGGCCCTTACAGGGATGCTCGGCTTTGTTTCTCAGTAGCTGAGTGGGTAACCTTTCATCTTTTTGGGTGTACATACTCCTACCACAACTGAAAAGGCAAAGCTTGTTGGGCTAGGGTGCTCCACCATTAAGGTTCAGGGTACTTGTGTTGATAAGTGGCCATTGTTGTTTTAGGATATTAGTTGTGGCACAGCCTTTCGGTGAGTTCCAGGAGATATTAAGGCCTCGGAAGAACGTGTGTTTATTTATCAGGGTGTTACATGAGCCAGGTTACCACGGCGGGTTACTTTAACATCTTCTATTGAAGCACCACGCCGAGAGATCCATCCACTTTACGGGCTCATGGTGCAAGGATTTATCGCCACAGGCCTGTATCCCCAGGGATCATTTTAGCCCAAAAGCCTTATATAGTATGGTCTTTGTGCCCACAAGCCGCAATACATGAGTCCTTAGATCCCTGGAGTATTAGGGTGTTGGGGCTGTTGTGAGCCCAAGGGTCGAGGTCGTGCAAGGCTTCATGTCGAAACTGCTTCAGGAATTGTTTGGCGTTTTTCCACCCAGATCATGTGCCGACGCCCTGGATGTTGTGATCCCCGTGTGCTCTCCACGCGCCGGTAGACTGGTACGAGTTCGGTAGTCGTAGTAGTAGTAGGAGTAGTAGGAGTAGTAGGAGTAGTAGGAGTAGTAGGAGTAGGAGGAGTAGGAGGAGTAGGAGGAGTCGTAGTCGTAGTCGCAGTAGGAGTAGTACACGAGCACAATAGTACGATGGTACAATAGCAGAGTAGTGCAGTGTACAGCAGTAGTGCAGTTTCGGTGGCGGTGCGGGAGGAGCCCCTACCCGCCATGTCCTTTGAAAGGCTACAGGTCCCTTCAAAACCAAGCAATAGGCCTCCTTGTTATCGGCTACTCAACCATTAGCAGAAGGGTCCAAAGGACCAATATTTAGGTATTCGGTTTTAGGATAGGAGTTATGTGGGTTACTATTGTGGGAAGTATATGATAACAAGGTGCTTGGACCCTCAGGGTTAGCACAAAGGAAGTTGCGACAACACAAAGAGCCCCTGGGAAAATGCACCTTGGACATCTAGAGACCACAAATCCTTTGAATCCATTGCCGCATTACTGCGCTGCTGCCTCCTTTGCTTTGGGCCTCCTTCCCTAAACCCTAAACCCTAAACCCCTAACCCTAAACCCTAAACCCTAAACCCCTAACCTTGAACTGTAAAAAAAAACCCGGCCCCAAGCACAACGTCAACCCTAAGCCTGCGTCCCTACTACGGTTGATGACACAAATCCTGCATTGCCCATAACAAGCCCTAAGGCTCCATGTGCCCATATAGTATATACTTAGGCCTTAAAGTACCTATATAGGGACTACTTTGGGGCTTAAGTATCTACTATAAAGGTACATGGATTCTTTGGGAAGGAATATACCATAATTCCCATAGTACAGGGTCGTTAAGGTGATGCAGGGTTTATATCATCAGGCGTATTAAAGCTGAATGATATGAGAAAGGGTGTCCTGAGTCTGTCAAGGGGGATGTTGAGGAAAAACAGGTGCCAAGAGTCCGTTTAGTAGCCCTGAGGTCGAAATGATACAGAGAAACCTAGTAGTAGAGTAGGTAACCTTTAACCTCTCTTGGGTAGTATAGTCCCTATATAATCCCTATATAACCAAATAACTTAACATTTAGTTTCCCATGATGCCCGACAAGTAGGGAAAGGGTTTAGGGTTTAGCAACACCATCAGGGTTCCAAGATATCTTCAAGTTTGTAGCCAGTCTAGAAGCCTGATCATGAATTCATCGTAAACTTCGTATCATTGACCCCAGGACCCTCTTGTAGCAATAGACGCCCCGATGTTATCTACATGCAGCCGTAGGGCCCGAGTTTTGTGCCCTAACTTTGAAGCCCTGAGGATCATGAACGACAAACTTCAGAAACACTTCGTCTTCAACTTCGGCGACGAAGTTCCGCTGCGGATTTAGGTCGTAACTTTAGCGAAGTCCTGTTTGTTTAGCCCTGCCGTTCTTAGACCTTCGAATATCCCATTACTAAGGTAAGGATTACACTGTAATCCCCCAGCATCCTGAGTTCAGGGGTTTCGGGTTTAGGGAATCCTAACAGATGAAAACTATACTTATACTTTCCACTGTCTCAGCCGTGGGTCAAGTGCGACCAGGAGAGTGGTGGGTTCGAAATCACGGCTTCTTCAGGGTCTCCATTGCAGTACATGTCTTATTGTATATTGCTTAAAGATAGCATGGGTTCCCAAGAATCCGTATTTGCATTCCTTGGGGGAGCTCCCGATGCCATGCCAGCTATCGTATCCCGAAGATGATCTTAGATTTGAAGGCTAAACTTAGATAGCCAATGGGGGAACTTTAAACTTTTAGGCCTTATATACTTTTGTCTATGTTACAAAGTTTAAGCTTTTTGGGCCCGGTTATTGAAGGAGAGAGTAAAATCCTGCTCAGCGCGGAAAGACCAAAGTCCTCGCAAAATGCAGTTCTTTCCCCATGCCCCAGAACTTTGCACTGTCAGCGATGCTGACGGTTCATGTCGTAGTAAACTTATAATAGGCCCCTGACTAGCTAAAATAGGGCTTTGGGGTATGTTGAAGAATTTCAGAAGGTCTTTCAGATCATAATATGACGATATGGAGATACGAGCACAGATATCCATTTTGGGGACTGCTAATTCGACGCCTACTGTAGTAGATGCTTGGCAAGTGTTATACAGTGTCAACCTCACTCTTCTAGAAAGCACAGTGTAGGGACACTGCAAATATGTAGGCGATACACCGCGGATCTTACAAGTAGACCGGTTATCCCTAAACCCTAAACCCTAAACCCTAAATCCTAAACCCTAAAAAGTATTATGGCGGCTTGGGGTTCAGGCTTCGGGGCTTCAAGCTGAAGGTTTGGGGCATAAGGCTTCGGGACGAAGCGTTTTCGTGACCTAGCCATCCATGACCCACGGTTTAGGGTTTAGGGTTTAGGGTTCATCCATGAACTCAGAGAGCCCCAGTCTGCATAATTCTTAGGCCATGATATGAAGACGTTCACGGTTGAAAAGAAGCACGCATGCTCCCCATACCCGAAGCGCTAAGCCACTTCAAATAGTCTATGGTCATGACATGTTGGCATTTTGTATGAAGCTTCATGCACCTAGGTTGTCACGGCGCCTGTGATCTACGGCGGATACGCCAGTGACGACTCCATCGTTGGCGTGCTCTCGTCTCGCGTGTGGACGTGATGCTGGGGTGAAAGTAATGCTACAGGACTACTCTAAGGCCAAAGTGCAAACTACATGGGTATTGGTCCCAGGGATGTGCCTGACCAGCGACGATGTTCCTGCGACACTTGGTCGAGGGATTAGCGCCCTGACGATCCTGAAGGACCAAAGAGGCTCCTAAGCCGGTCAAACCCAGAGACTCCAACATCCCTTAATTAAGGAATATACCTTAAATTATAGTAGTATCCCTAATATGATTTAAGGAATACAGGGAAGCTCCCAACAGATCATGAATGTAGCCCTGACGCACGAAAGCCCTAGACCCCCCAATTCCCGCACCTTAAAGCCTAAACTTCCCAAGTCCCAAACCCCGAAACTCCCGTGGTATACCCCTACTTCCAAATGCCGTAGCCAGAGACTTGAAAGCCTCATATTCACAAAGGAAGACATACATACCTTGAGCTACAGAGGGCTCGCTACGTGTACTTTCAGTTTTTGGAATGTTTGGGGTAGGCTGAACCAACGGCGAGATTCCCCACCATGTAATTCAGGAATATGCCTCAAATCGCATCCAGACCCTAGGTCCGAAACCCCAAAGAGAAGATTCAGGACCCTTCGCAGTTCAGGGTGTTCTCCCAGCGTAAGGGTCCAAGTACCTAATAATCATCTACTCTCCAAAATCCTAACCTACATAACTACTATCCTAAAACCGAGTACCTAATTATTGGGTCATTTGGACCCTTAGGGTCCTATTTTCGAAAAAAGGCCCTTAGATTAAATCCTTGTTATAGCCCTGAAAGTAGCTCTTATAGACCCCTTTTAAAGGAACCCTATTCTAATTCTTGGGTCCTTTGTACCCTTAGGGCCAGCGTAAGGACCCCATCATCCCGCCCCTAATGAGCCCCCTGGAAAGAGAATCCCTAAACTACCTAGGTAGGGCTTTGGGACATGTTGCATATTCCCTTACTGGGCTTAAGAGGATCTTATGTACTAATATTTTTGAAAGGCTTTAAAGGCCCCACCTAGCTACGCTGCCTACCATTCTGATGGCTAGAAGCCGTGTCTTACTTTTTAACTGGTGCTTCAGCCTAAACCCCAAACCCTAAGCCCTCACTTGGTCCTTGGGGTTGTTGCAGTCTGTTTTAAAGGCTGCTCGCCAGCGCAGTCATAAGCAGCGGAGCCTCTGGCATAGCCTCTGCAATGACTGTGCAAAGCTTCAGTTTAGGGTCTGGCTAGGTAACCTGTCACGTTTCGTGCTTGCTGTTATCCTTCCATAGCTTAAATGTTGATTTTTTTCCTGGCGGAGGAACCCAGCCCCGCAGTAAGGGAGTTCAAGAGTCTCGAGCATTTAGGCCGGCAAAGTAAGAGTCTATAATAAGGCTACTATTAAGGTCCTATATATATATATATATCTATATTATGAATATTATTCAACTATTACTGAGTGGGGACCGTACCCAAGGCGTACGCGTTAGGATTTCAGGGTCTTTGTGGGTCCTACGAGGGCCCAAGTAGTTCTCTGAGCTCGGAGCCCTCTACATGTACAGCTTGTAGGGTGCTTCAGGCACATCGGATCTCTGCCGCGGCCGCCGATTGTTTCAGCTAAAACTGGATCGTCTGTCCCAAACCCCACCACCTCATAATCGTAAACACCCTGAACCCTGAATGTTCAAGAAGGCAGCACCCTTAAACAGCGCCAAGAGAGAGCAAACTGAATGCCGGGTTCTTGTCAGGAGTCTCCAAGCTTATGATGGTGCAGGGTGTGGAGTTTAGGGTCATGTTCCCTGAGGATTCTGTGTGAAAAGTCTTTCTGGGGTTTGGGATTATGCAGGTTTAGGGCAGGGGCTAAGGTATCTTCCGTAATTGGCCGATATTGGCATGTCTTGGAGGTTCCGTCGTACCCACACGGTCCAGGTAGCAATATAACAGGTTCGTACTTCAAGCTTGGGGCCCCGACAAAGATATGATCCTTTTTACCTGCACCCTTTGGGTAAGAATCCGTCCCTAAACCCCTAAACCCTAAACCCGAAAAACCCGAAAACCTAAACCCTGAACCGTGCGTTTGTAAAGTAAGGGACCCAGTGTTCATACAAGGAATTTTCCTTCTCCGGGCTCTGGGGACTCATATTTTAGTTTTGCTTGGTTAAAGGATCATGGGACTTAGTAATTGGGGTCGTTAAGGGGTCTCTTTAAGTGATCTATAGGGGTACTATAAGAGTTTAGGGTTTAGGTTTAGGGTCTACTTAAAGGATCATGGGACTTAGCAACTGGGGTTATAAGTAAGGTAACTGCAGTTATAGTTATAAATCATTAGTAACCCCAATTAAGATAAATTGAACCCTACTTGCTGAGTCCCATGATCCTCCAAGTGGTGGCAAACACAAACTAGAAAAATCGGCTGTCTGGGAAACCCTAACCCCTGAACCTTTGGGTTGTCTGGGACACCTTGGACGTTGCCCCCACAACAATAACTGCTCGACTTTCCGGCAGGGCAAAGGCAAGGGAGACGATCCCGAGGCTCGGAATGGGTGGTTTAACTGGTGTTGACACTTAAAGGAACATGGGACTTAGTAATTGGGGTTATGAGCCAGGCAGCTACAGCCATGACTACATGTAACCCCAATTATTAAGGTACTTATAACCCTACTTACTAAGTCCCACGATCCTCCAAGTAGGCCTGGTCTCCCAGTGGGCCCTCTTTCCCTTTCTGTGTTCTTCGGTTCCTTATAAAATTATACAATACCACCAAAAAAGGAGCCCTTTTTTCTCCTAGGTTACCGGGGTTCCTAGATAGGGCCAGCACGTAAGCAAGAATTAGGCCAGGGATATCCCAAATAAACCCCTGAAAAGGAATCCCACTAATGTAGGGATATCCCCATTAGATTGCTTATGCTTATACAGGGAACTCCAGAAAGTTGGAATATGGATTAATGGTAGGATCCCCTATGATTTACCTTAAAGGGGTTACGAACATGATATTCCAACTTTCTGGCTTCTACTGTATGCTTTTTGGGTCCTTAACTAGAAGCCTTTGAACCCTAAACCCTAAACCCTAAACCGTTTGTACCTGGTTGTATAAGGCCCCGAACCCTGCACCTCGGAGACCCAAACCCTACACCCTAAACATAACAGGGTTTTGGGGAGTTTTGGGGCCCGGTATACTATAATTATAAAAAGGGCCCCCAAAAATGGAGGGTCGTAGAACTTAGTCAGAAGGGTTGTAAGTACCTCAATAGGGGTTATAAGTACTTATAATTGTAGCTTGCCTTACTTAAAACCCCACTTACTAAGTCCCATGTTGTAAGTAAACATACAAACCTCGATGCTTCCGACGTTTCTTTCAGTAATTAATTCGGTCGGAGGTTTTTCGATCTTTCGGCGCAGATGAGGTTGTTCTACTTGGAAGGGCAGGGGACTTAGTAAGTAGGATGTAAGTAGGGTTACAATTGGGGTAACTCCATTTAGGGTACTTATAACTCGACTTATAACCTACTTGCTAACCTTCCAAGTAAGCTGTGTTTCTGTATTCCCTGAACCCAACTCGTTCATACTTACCTATATAGGGCCAAAGTATATGCTGTTTGGGCACATGGACACTTAGGGTAAGGTATCCATCAGGGTTCTACAAAGGTTTATAAACGAGGTCGATAAGTGCTTCTAAAAGGTGTGCCTCAGGTTTCCTGTAATATAGGGGCCTTAGTAATTTGAAGAGGGTTTTGTGGCCCACAATAGGATAGTTATATAATACGGAACCCCCAAGCCAGTATTGGTAATTATTTAGGCCCCTATATTAATCTACTAGCAGAGAGGGGTTTCGGTATTATTGTCGCTATATTATAGTGTTTTCTGTAGTTCTTCTAGGATACTGCACAAGTTGAAGTCCTACAAGAGGTTCTGTGCAAACTGGGTTTACATTAGAGTGTTGGTGATTGTCGAGGGGGTCTCCTTAGGGATGTTGCTGCGTGCACATTTTGAGTTTTTTGCCACAAGAACACTTCATCTAGGTTTTGTACAGGTTTTCGAGACTTCTAAAAGGATTTGTTGAGGACTTGTTGGTGGCTTGTGCTGCTTTCCACTGCTTTGGAGACGGTTGCTATTCGTGTTTGGGAACTCCTTCCGGGTTTTAAGGTCAGGGGTTTCGGGGTTCGGGAACGCCAGGCCCCTAGATGCATGACGATTGTCGAAGAAGTACTGGCAAGCTTTATCTTGTGTGAGGCACAAACCCTGAAACCTATACCTTAAGTATAGCCCAGTTGGGACCTGCTGGCCTCATAGAAGAGGAGCTGAAACGAAAACGTAAGTAGATAAATCCACTCCTTTTCTGAGCCCTTCCGGCCCGCATAGCCTCATTTCAGCTCAACCGCCGCGGCGCTTGGGGGTGTTTTTTTCACATGCTATGCTAGGCTTGTCCGCTCTTTAGTAGCTGAGTGGATACACTTTGCGCTTTTTTGGGTCATACTACCTACTACAAAACTAAAAGTGTATACTTTTGGGGGCTTATGAACTCAGCAACTAAGGCTCTCGTGTTTCGAATCAACATAGACCAGGCCACAGACCCCTGAACTTGAAATCAACTTGCAGAGCTCTCCGTTTGCAGGGACACCGAGGTTCACCTGAAGGAATTGTGCTCTCGAACGTGCCCAAGGAGGCTCTTTGGCTTAGGGTTCATTTTTTAGGCTTGAAGGTTCGAATGTATTGGCCTATAGCAGCACCATCACTGCCGCCACCACCACCACCACCACCACCACCACCAACGACTATGACTACTACTGCGACTATGGCTACGGCTGCGACTGCGAGAACGACGACTACGCCTGCTACTACTACTCTAGTACTACTACTAGCACTAGTACTGGTACTACTACTACTACTACCACCACCACCATCACGACGACTACGACTACTACTACTACTACTACTACTACTACTACTACTACTACTACTACTACTTCTACTAGTACTCGTACTAGAACTGGTACTAGTACTAGTACTAGTAGTAATACAACTACAACTACAACAAA